TATATATATCTCATGTCTAGGGCTGCCACAATAACAAATTTTTGCTGGAAAATAAACTGTCCCAGAAGTTATTGCTAGAAATGATAATATTGTGATTTTGTTACCATTTTCAAGTGCTATAATGATATTGGCATAATAAAGCAGGAACACGTACTCAAAGAACAATAAACTTTAAATTCTAATAAACATTTTACACTGCAACTGGAAGACGTGTTAAATATCCACAAAAAATAAACAACAAATAAAATGAATTTTGAAGTCCCTGTAAACAAAATTGTCCTTGAACGGTTTTCCTGAGTTGCTTCTCCGCCATTAGTGAGTACATAAGCATGATTGACAGCGCTAAGACCCTCCTCCTGCTTCTGATTGGATGATTTTGGTCAGGAGCGATGCATTTCTTCAGATGGCAATATTAGCTCAGTGAGGAGGTGAAGGAGCTCAATCTTTTCAGACATCATCTGTCTCATAACATTCTGTCACAACATGGTGACGGTTTTAGAAAAATATGTAAAAAACTTACATTTTATAAAAGTTGCAGTTTTAGAGTTCTTTTCAGACTACACGTTTAAATTGTCTTGTCATTCATGGGTTTAGCAACCCTTTAGGAAGCCACGAGGTTCCAAATCCAGGACCGGGAAATCTAAGAGCCTTATATTATCAATCAAATCAATTTCTAGTGCAGGCGTATTGATTCTTGTATCACAAAAATAAAAATATCGATCTCTTTTGTCGAACCTATTACACTTTTCTAAGTGTTTTGTTTTTTAGAATCAAAAGGTGGATCAAAGTCAACTCTAGGCTACCTTCAATAGCATACAGGTTTTCAAAGACATGCCTGGCATGCAAATGTACTTTTAGACTGTGAAAGAGTAAATTCAGGTACACAAGATCCCAGGTGTGATAATCCTTTTAGCCAGGAGGAAAGAATGATGACCACATTATTTATATTTGGCAGCAGTCTTAGTCCCAGATGTGTAAACACCTACAGCGTAAATCTATAGCTGCACGCATGGCTGCTTATCCTAATATTAGTCTAATTCCTATGTCATCTTAGTGAACAGGATTCTCCTCCTTCTGTGTGTGTAAATGAATAAACCACAGAATAATTTCCCACTGCTTCATAAGAGGTAATAAGATACGGTGCGATGCATATTAGCATGGGAGCATGATCGTTCCAGTGCCTCTGATTTCAGACTCTGTTGGATTTCTGCCCAGATACAGGAGGGGGCGAGTGGAAGCACGGAGAGAGAGAGAGGGGGGGCAGGTTAACAGCAGGCATGCATGAAGAGTGATAACACTAGTTGCTGTGGTGATTCATGTGACCCTAACTAACACTTCCAAAAACCAGCTGTGCAAAAACAAGTTATGAAAGTGTTTAAAGCTTTAATGTGAGAGCAAGTAGTTCTAGAAAATAACTCCTGCAACTCCTAGTAATCTATTAAAACAAATTAACTTCAGTAGTCATCTAAATCACTGTATACGATCAACGGCCATTTCATAATTTATTCCGTACAAGTAGAAGAGCACCGATTACAGACTTCCTGCAGGTCACAAGGCCTGTCACAATACCAATTCTTATAAATTGTCCCAGTAATTATTGCAATAAACAATAATATTCGCCATATTTGCAAACCAATGTTTACATTTAATCTATCAAAGCCATTCTTCAACACAGGCTGTGTTTCCGATACATATTCCATTGTCAATATTCGGCTAATGTCGAACAAACCCAACTTCGCAATCGCTGTGTTTCCATTAAATACGAAACGCAATTAAAATCACACATAAATAAATTTGTTCACGCGATATGTCAAAAACATGCCGCGCCATCATCCTCCAACTACTTCCTTTCATTGTCTCCTTCATTGTTTCCACCAGCAGCATCATCTGGTTGTTGATCACTTAACTCGAAAGATATGAAAAAAGCATTTCTGTTCCAGTTTTGCAAAATACATTAAAACTGATACGACTGAAAAACTATGTCATCCTAGCTCAAAAACTTTACTCGAAAAATTTGTTTTTTCGAAACTAGCATGTTTCCATTAAGCAAAATTATTTTTGTAATTCAAATTTGCACAATTATATGGGAGTCAGTGGCTGCGTTTCTATCAACCACAAAATTCCACAATTTCAGAATTCGAAACACAGCAATTAAAAGGTTTTTCAATAAAAAAGTTTTGCGCATGCATGAGATGGCTTTTCAACCATATCGAAGTTTGTAGTTTTCACAAAAACTGCAAAAGCAACACCTTCTTCGTATCGCACTAGTCATGTGATCTACAACTGGAGGTTACTACTGGCAGAAAAGACGAAGAAGATGACAGGAAGTGGTAGGAGGATGATGGCGCAACATGTTTTTCAATGACTGACAGCATGAACAAACTTATCCACGTGTGATTTTAATTCCGTTTCTTACTTAGTGGAAATACCACGATTTCAAAACTATGTTTTTATAATATTAGCAGAATATTCACAAAGTTTTGCTCACATCTGTATTGGAAACACAGCAAGTTTAGACAAGTTGTGGTCAGAGTTCCCAGCTCCACCACTCAGTCTCTTTCATCCTTTTCACTCCTTATCTTCATACAAGCCATCTCAGCCGTCCCACTCCAGCTGCTAGCAGTCTTCTATGCTATAAACGCCATCCTGCAACTACAAGCCTTTCGATTCAACACGCAATTCATCTACTGCTTCTTATCCTCGCCACAACTCTCTTATCTCTGACACTCAAACCAGTTTGAGATTCTTTGAAGAACTGCTTGTCTAGACCAAGATTCCAGTCAAATCTCTTCTTCAATAAATTGTTTTTGCTTTCCTCCCTCTGAGTTTAAAACGCAACACAAATTTGGCACTTCTGCGGCGAGCCATAGCGGACGCAGGCAAAGCGAGGCGTGACGGATCGAGCGGAGCCACACCTTGACGTAGAGCTGCTGGAACTCATCCAGGTTTAGCCGGCCGGTGGGGCAGTCCTTCAGAAATCCCTTGTACCACTGCTTCAGCTCGTGCTCGTTGAACTCCGTGTTCTTCACCAGGTCCTCCATCACTTCAGGGGTCAGCTTGCTGTTCTGTTTCCCCATTTTTTTTTCCCTGGAAAGCAAAAAAAAAAAAACAGAAGGGAAGGCCCCAGGAAAAACACACAGCATTATCCAAATGTTGTGCAAGACCAAGAGCTAACAGTCCGCGCTACTGTACGAGGTTTTTGGGAGAGCGATTCATCAAAGCTGCAAGCAGAGATTTCTCGAGAGCGCTAAAAATACGCTTTAAACAAATGAAGTGCATTACGAGGCAGAATGGCTGAATGTCACACGGTGTAAATTAGGCCTTACTGCATCACAGCGTTCAGTTTCTGCTTCTGCCTTTGAGCAGATGCTGGTCCTCATTTGTTTGTTTTTGTACTTTATTTGAACTGGTTCGAAGCAGAGTTTCTGGGTTATGTTCACAGTACTTTGCCAAGCCACCTGAGCACATTTTGTCAAATCCTTTTGTTTAGATTATATATGCTAGAGCAACACAATGCAGTACAACTTAAAATAGGATTTACATTTAATATTCAGACTGAACAAAAAGTCTCCTTTCAAGTCTTGCCATATGGAAGCCTGTAACTTTAACAAGTTTTGCTGGACGATAAATCGTCCCAGTAATTATTGCAATAAACAATAATTTTGCTGTTTTGAGACTATTTTCTAGTAATATAATGATAGTGGCATATTGCATGAAATAAGCTTATGCGATTAACTGAAAAGTCCATCGAATGTGCCAAATTTGTTTTATCTGACTAAAATAATCGCTGAGCTGCAGCCATATTTCATACTAGCTCTGCCATTGACTCCTTGTATTTGGCTCCATCCTTCATCCTTTAGCTCCAAATGTTTCTGGTTTCTGTATGTATAAAAAAAAAGGTCCAAAAGTATTTTCCTTCAACTTCATAATTAAGACTTTATGGTTGCAAAGTGACCAAAACAAAACTTCAGGGGTGTGAATACTTTTGGAATACAACATGTTCTCGTTTCCCAGTTTTGTTTAAAGTTAATTATTTGTCAAACATTTCTCCCTCCGTAATGGAACCCATTCAAATGGATTTAATAGCAACCTTTTGAAGTAGCGTGTCCCCACTGTGAAGTTGCAGAAAAACTTTAGTATGTTTCAGTTTATCTTCCTTAATTCCTCCTTCTGCTCCCGGCTGCACGCAGCTGCCTCAGCTCCAATCTGCCTGGTGCTCATGCTGCCACTTTATGGCCTTCATTAGTTCATTACCCAACCCCTAATTATCATAAATTTGCAAAATACGGTTAGAGTTTTGGAACATCCCTGCTCTCCGTCTCTGCTGAGACACTCCTTCAGACCTCCTTCTGGGTGATAAGACCAACACTTGATGGATGGTGCCAGTTATCTGTCTGCATGCTGATAAAGACATGCTGCAGCAATGAACCGCAAAGATCGGCCTGCTATGATAATACATTTTGTTGGACGATAAATTGTCCCATAAACAATTGCGATTAATGATAATATTGTTATTTGAGACCATTTTCTAGGAGTATAACAATAATGGCTTAATGATGCAAGTTTGCTCTCTCAAAAATCAATACACTTTAACTTTGAGAAGAATACTTCACACTGGAAGTGGAAGATATTTTAAATAACCAGAAAAACACTAAGTAAATTGGAAATGACCAAAACCATAAATGAACCACATATGAAGTGTCTGTAAACTGCCCTTCAAAAATGTTAATCATTAGAAATAAAATAAATTAGCAAGCTCATCTTAACACTTATCATTACGAGCCACCTTCACATCTGAGTGAGACAATGGTTAAATCAATAGCGGCATTATATTGTGCTGTACATTGAATAACAAATCTTTTCATACATTGTGGAGAATTGCGTTTTTTTTCCTAAATAAGACTCTACCTTTCAGAGACGCTACAACAGCCCACTCAGAAGTTGGCTGCCAAACAGCAGACCTGTTACTGTGAGATATTAATAATTTCGCTCAGGCGCTTTCAAGGTGTCCGGGATCCTTTATTGATCAAGCGTTGACTCCGCTTCTCCTACGACATCGCTTTGGAAATGCTGTTCGGCTGACTTTTACATCCTGCCTGTCAGTTTCTCATGGTGCCTGGATGACAACGTCCAGGCACCATTCCAAACATCCCCCTGTTCACAAGCACAGCAAATAGAGGTGTGAAATTTAACTCCGCTGGAGAAATAAAGTCAGTAGCTTTTCGGTGAAAGTTATCTCAAGAGCCTTTACAGGTTTGTGTTCTGTATGGCCATAAAATTCAAATAAATCTGGGGCTTAAAGGGAGAACAATCCACTCGTATTATAGACAAGAGTACCAGTTGGGTACTGTGTTTAGAGTTGAAAATGATATATATATTAGTGCTGTAGCAATACACTAATCTCACGATACCCAATATTCTGCTCACAATACGGTATATATCATGATACTCAGCAAAGTGTAAGATTCAATACATTTTTAAGATTTTCTGAAAGATTTTAGAGGGACAGAGTGATTTTGGTGAGACTTTGTGACTGTTCCATAGACTTGGATTAAATTAATCAACCTGATGATATAATACTGGCGTAATAAATATTGTTTTTGTTATACATTTGCTTTGTTTAAATGTTAATTGTGTGGCTTTGTGCATTTGATTATGCAGAAAATGAACCTTTTTTGTCTTTTTCACTTATATTAGATAATGGAATTTATCTATTTCATTTCTTTAATTAATTGTAACTGGTTGTTTCATTACATGTCATTTTTAATGTACATATGCAAGTTGAAACATGAGGGATTTGAGTAGGATTTAAGTTATTGAGTACTCACAGATGAAAAATCAATACTTTACGAGGAAAAAATATCAAATATCGCCGAATCGATAAAAACACCTAGGCGTAGTATATATGATGTAATAATACAGTTGGGGAAACTATATGCTAATGAAGTCAGAAGATACCTTTAACGTATTAAAGGTCACCATTATCAATGTTGAGTTGAGGAGAGAAGCTAGATTTTTTCACATCTGATAGTCTGGTACACTCAGTTCAATTGGGGACCAAAGTTGCGACATTTGTCCCATTTTCAGCTGGTGCGGTTCTCTTTCACACTGCATTGTGTCAAACGAACCAAACCCTTTTAATTTTCTCATTTGTCTTAGATAAAATCCACGAGCCATTTCTCCTGCTAGCGCTAGATTCTCACGTCTGTTTTTGGTTGTATTTACCCAAAATGCCCTGCACTGTAGTCCACCTCCTGCTATTGGACCGAATCAAGTCAGTGAAGCTAAAAGTGATCCGAGTTCACAAATGGATTATAATTTTATATTTTTATCTTTGAGTGAATCATCACTCTTTCGATTGCCTCTAACTTTGCTGCTGTTGCACCAGAATTTCCCCACTCGGGGACAGCAAAGGCTTTTTCTATTTCTAAAAAAAAGCAACAAAAAAGAAAAAGATGAATATGTCTGAAACGTGAGTTTGGTGACAGTGGATGTTTTCTAAAAACTGTCTCTCCTAGCAATTTTTCAGTTAATTAATTAGGGGTAAAGATTTTTTTGAATCTTTTTGATCGTATCCAGTGAAACAAGCTTCACTAATGTGATTTCTTTGGAATACCAAACTGGCTCGGTTGAGCTATTTTTTCAACTTCGGATCATCTGGTCCGCATGGAGGTATCTGAGCCCCCTCTGCATGCTGCTATGTCCTTCGGCAAGACATGACCTTTTGAAGAAGACCTTTACGTGAGAATGCAATACTCCGTTTGGCAGTTAAAGCACAGATTACGCAAGAAAAACACACAAAAGTGCCCAGATTCAAAGACAGAAAAAGACCTCTAAAAAGGAAACTTTTTAGTGGCACCAAAGAAGCTTTGTGTTAATGCAACCCCCCTGAGCATCCTAAGTGCATTCAGTTGCTAATAAAAAACCAGAGGAAGTTGTACAATTTTCTCATTCATAACTGACCCTGTGATCCATTAGCTGCGGTTTCTCTGTGAAAATCACCTAAAATGGAGCTTGGGGATTGTTTAAGCGGCAAACTCATTCTTTCAGTGACCACTTTTACCAATTTTTAATAGTATTTTAAACGTCTGCATGATGGCATAAAAGGCACACCTTTCTACCGAGGTTTACCAGATTAAAACAAAAAGGTATGGAACCCTCATGGGATGAAGAAATACTTGTAATACTTGTTTTTAATGGAACTGCTGCTGGTTCTCTCTTTTTTTTTTTTTTTTTTTTACAAAGGAACTGCATGAAGAAATTGTCTTAAGGTCTGGAATCATACCATAGAGAGCAATAACCTCTACCGCTACTCCACACACTGCCCCATGTCTTGGAATATTCAGCTAGAAATCCATAGTGTTTTACCTCCCACCCACAGAAACCCATTTCCTTTCACAACTGCCTTCTATTGAAGGTTCGGACGGTTCGGACTTTTTACTTACGAAGCCTGACGGAGCTCAACAAGCCTCATAGCTTGACAGTAGCGCAGCTCTGGTGTCAGAGATCTGGTTCAGCTGTTCAGGTTCAAAGTTGCTGCTTTTAGAAAATTATGATCGTGTTGCTTCATGTTTCCGTGTTATTTCGTTTTATTACCTTTGCATGTTTCTTGTGAAGAGCTCAGGACGGTGTTTACAGCAGTATGTACAGGCGGATCAGTTGCTCGGCTGTCTGGCTCTGGTCTGCTGGTCGTTCCCATAAACTCTTTCAGGCTGAATATAGAAGTGATTCCATGGAAATAACTCAGGGAGGCTCCTTTATTTACCATCCGTATCCCCGGTAGTTTTAGGCTGATCCGGAGTGAAGTGAAGGCTGCAAACTTTGCTGTGCGGCAGCGACAGATATTTACAAGCCATCTTCTTAATTCAGGATCGCTTGGAAATTAACAAAAACTTAAAAGCCCATTATATTAGGAAGACAACAATGTTAATAGTATTGTTTTTTTGCATCTGAAATACGACTTGGTCTTTTCTACCAGTCAAAGCGGAAAAAAGTGAGCCGCATTAGCTCCTGGAGATGTGACGTCAACGCCTTAGGTGCAAAGAGCCCATTGGGTTTTTAATCGGAACCATGTATCAGATGACACTAGTAAATGTTTTATTCCGCATCAACACTCCAGGTAGGTTTAACGTGAAATACGTGTAGAATATGTGGAAAAGTTATTCATGCCTATTGTTAACCTTTGTGCGTGCAAGGACCGAGGCAAATGATACAAGTGATACGGGTGTGGGGTCGGTTGGACCCCATTTGTAAACACAAGGGTTAAATATGGTGGAGGACCTGTCATGACGTGTCCCTGTTTCTCTTCTGAAGGTTCTTGTGAAGAATACATGGCACAACATGATTCTTTAAATAGCAAACAGGGTCTTAAGACATCACAACTACCCCAGTGCGAATCCAACCACAACATTGGTAACCACTAATCTAGAGAGATTCTGGCTACAGGATGCTACGCTGTTAGCAAAAGGGGGTTGCACAAAGTATTTTGTTTGTTAACTTGGAATTTACTGGTCCGGTACTTTCTGAGCCTCATCTGTGGTCATGAGATACGGATCAGAAAAAATGAGATTCTGAGTACAACCAGTCAAAAATTAGCTTCTGTCGTAAGTTGGCCTTATTCCACCTTAGAGATAGGGTGGAGTCTCTGTATTAGCTGTTACCATCCAATTGCCATGGATATTGTAACTGAACTTTTAAAATGTTGCAAGAAAAGGCAAATTAGCCATGTTTCCATTTACTGGTTTGAAGCGAATCAACCGGGCTACGCAAAGCTTACTTTCATCAGCTGTTGAAGGTACACATGGCTGTAACAAACAGGAAATAGAGGTTGTAAACTACCATGGACCTCACATCTGAGAAAAATAGAGAGGTTTTCAAGAATGTGTTGCTATCGGGAAATTGTAATAGTTCTGTCATGCCAACCAGTACTGACGATGTTACATGCTGTAGAATATCTACGGAAAGAAATGCAAATCTAATGCACACCAACCTTGGAAACAGCTGATGAGTCATGTGACTTAAATGCTCACCACAATAGAACTTATTTGGCAAATGTGAGTCCATGTCCCTCTAGCACATTAAGAAAAGCCGAAAACCACCTCAAACAAGAAAAAAACCTTTTTGCAACACTGAGGAAGTTATGCTGAATTTTGTCATTTCCATCAACCTTTTCTAATGCGATACATCAAACACGATGACGGCTATTGAAAGAAATCAGTTAAGGTAGTTCAAGCATTCAACAATGATGCCTTCTGGGAATGTACCTTTGGAGATTAAGGGTATGTCCCGCTAGGAAGAGACACTGATGAAAACCCAGAAACAGGGACTATGTATTCCCATCTGGTTTGGGAACACTTTGGGATTTCCTAGAATGAGCTGGTGGATGTCACTAGACAGAGGGAAATGTGGGTTTTCCTCCTGGACCTAACCTTGGATAATCAGAATACAATGGATGAACTCAAATTTAGGTTTGGTGACAATAGATTTGTTTACACCCATATCAGACCATTGGAACTGCGCAAATATGAATGTGCATTGAACTCTACCCTTTGCATTTGTTTTGTCAGTCTATGATCTCATAAACAAATGTCAGTCCTTCAGGGAATGTGCAAATGCAATGCCCTCTGACACGAAGGTGCAAGACACCACTTTGTTTCAAAATAGGTCCAGGATGAAGAAAGCAGCAGCAGCGGGACGTGTGCACACGTCCTAAGAGAGATGTGAACAAATGACGTAGTAGATTGCCATCATGACACTGTGCGTGTCTTTCTTTGTATTCGTACATGGAGGCTCTTCCCCAAATCACCTGTCAGTAGGAAGAGTTACATCTTCTTTTAAGGGCTAACAAGAACGTCCATGAGATAAGGTGAACCTCTTGCAGAACTGTTGCATTTTTAATCGAAGATTCAGACTTGTGATGTCTTGATGTGGTGCCATGTGGCATCACGTTCACAAAGTCCTCACAAATCGCTCACGCTGCATCGTAATGTGAGCGATACTCAACATGCCGTCTCTTCTCACTCGCTCAACAAACAAGCGGCAGAGACAGTTTCGCATCTGTGCTGCATCAGTGTGCAGCCGATGGACCCAGCATCACATTTTACATGCTGCTGAGGTACTTATTTTTCACTGTTTAGGCAGGGATTTGTCTCGGGAAGTTAGATTTGAATTAGTCTTACGTATGTATTTTTTCAGTTCTGTGCAAGGGCATTCACACCAAGTTTTTCACCATTTTTTCAGGTTACAATGAAACATGCATAGTTAAAAGGAAGCTGAATGGAGCCAAATTTAGAGCAATCCTGGAAGAAGACCTGTTAGAGGCTGCAAAACACATGCAAGGAAAATGACCCAAAGAAAGACATGGAGCAAGAGCAAGAATGCAATGATTTAGATTAAAGTATATTCATGTGTCAGAATGGCCCAGTCTAAGTCCAGATCTAAATCCAATTAAGAACCAGTGGTGATAATAATGTGTTACTTTGTATTCATTGAGGTTAGTGGCTGTAATATGACAAAAAGTGAAAAAAGGTTCAAGGAATTAAATTATTTTTCAGGAACACTTTCGGGACAATTAGGGCAACTTTAAAACATCATCTTCGCCCACATCCATCAAACTGACAAACTGATGACGTTCATCTTCCATATAGAGCTGCTTGTCATTCCCATTTGGCACCTTGGCTGATTGCTATTCTTCCAAGCTTCCTACGACCCCTGTCAGTCGCCCATCTGGCTTGTTACCGTCCACCGCCACCCTTGTGATGCAATCAATCAGCACTGGGATGAAAACAGCCTGTAAATGTTATATGACTGAACTCCCTACGCTCTGCATGCAAATGCGACGATGACTAAACTCCCTCTTCACATTCCACCGAGCGTTTTCTGATGCATTCTCACTACTGGGTATGCGCAGTGGAATAAAGAGTGATGCAAAAGTAATCGGGAGATAGGCGGGAGAGAGGCAGTGAAGGTGGGGATGGGTGTGATCCAAGAGAAATGCAGAGGCATGACGCTCCTGTTGAATAACAGAGAACACACCCCGGCCCGGGCGTCTGTTGTCTCGATCTATGCGTTTGTGATGTTCTGCGCCACTTACTCACAAGTGCCACAGGAAAGAGACGAAGGAAACAAACACAGAACCAGCTGGTGCATCATCAGCAAATGCCAGTGCGCCCGCTTCAGGACGAGACCTGAGTATGGGGCCGGGCCGAAGGGGATGGGGATGGTGGGGGGGAAGCTGGAGTGACGAGGCGCACCGGTTCACTTTGCAGCACTTTGCAGTTGCCGATCACACTCTGCACTGACTCTAAACCTGAGTCACTGGAGGGTTCAAGTCCTTTTGAACCCTTTTTGGAGGGAAAGCAGATGGGACGAATAAGGTGACAGGTGCAAGACTGACGATGACATATCTGCACTGTAAAAGAGGGGAGGCTTTACAGCCAGCAGAGCGGCCCCTGAGCTGGGGCAATGGGCCATTACATAACACCACCCCATTTCCCATCATTTGCCAACAGGAGCTGACCTTGAGAGGAGGGCAGAGTGCTGGCATAGAGAGAGAGAGATAGAGAGAGAGAGAGAGAGAGAGAGAGAGAGAGAGAGAGAGAGATCCAACATCAGATGTCAACGAACCAGTCTGAGGTTTTACTCCAAGCAAATTTGATAGGCTATAATATCCTGAAGGCCTTTTTGTCTGGAAATGTAGCTTCCTACTGAGGGTGGGTAAAGGAGACACCCCCTACCCTCCACTCCCATGCCTCTCCATCTCTCTGTCTCTCTGTGTTGCTCTTTCACACACACACTATTGCAACATCAGTGACAAACCAGCTCCACAAGCACACATCACACCCCATCCAGTGCCATGTCACGCCAAGCCACCCCACGCAAGTACCAATTATAAACCGAGAGAATCCACACATCTTTAAGCACCTCTATGCTTATTACCTGTTCACTTTGGATGCTGATTCAAAAATACTCCAGTGCGCATGTGTGTGTGTGTGTGTGTGTGTGTGTGTGTGTGTGTGTGCGCGCGCACGCGTGGGCTGCAAGAGTAAAGCAAACAAGACGTGTCATGCTTATTTGATGTCTGCAAGAAAAATATCGTCCAGATTTAATCCCGCAGGTATAATATGGCGGTTTTATTGATAAAACGTGGATGCGTGCTTATTTGCAATTATGTCCTCAATAAATCAATGAATCACTCAGGAAATTAGAAAGGATGACGCACCGCGTTGCATCATGTCAGCATACATCAAGCACTCAAGAGAATAATTTGAGGAGAAAAATGCGAGAAACGCAAAGCGCTCATTTTCTTACCTTGTGAGAGTGTGAAGTCAACGAGAGAAGTCCGGCGGTCTGGTGTCTGGAGTGGTTTCAAAAACCCTCCGAGGACGAGGGGGGTGGGGGGAAAGAAACAAAACAAGCACCTCAGTCGTATGAAATGCTCCTACCGCGAAACAAGAGGCTCACGGCTTTAATGTCTGCTTCTTTTTTCCAATATTGCTATTTGTTCCACTGTTTGGAGGAGGAGAGTCAGAAAGTACGGGGTGCAGATCCACAGAAAGATGCTGCTGAACACGAAGTGCTGCTGATGCACAGAGAGGAGGAGACAGACGCTCAGCGTGTGTGTGTGTGTGTGTGTGTATGCGTGTGTGTGTGTGTTATCAGCCTGATAGGCTCCGCACACAGCGGGAAACAGGCTGTCAACAACACTGGACAAGAACTAACAATGAACTCGCCCTTTCTCTACTCCACATAAGCATATCTTCTTAACCGACAAGCTCTGCTTGTATTAGAATCGGGGTCAAAGTAATGGCGGACGAGCAGCGCCTAATTAGGCCGCTTATTATTCAGTAGTTGTTTCATTAGCAGCCGCAACAGTTTCCCGCCACTGACAGCAAAGCACAGAAAAAACGTTAGCCAGGAAGCTAACTGGGGGTTAGCGACAAGATTAAACTGCTCATTTAGTAGGTGAGTCATTTGAGCTGTCTAACTGCCGAGTAAAGGGTATAAAATCATTACTACTTTAAATGTAAACTAATATCACAGCCATTTATTTTAAAAATTATTTAGGTTAGCATGAAGCCAGAGTTTTCTTATAAATTTTGCTAAAATTGATAGCGAATTTTAAAAATGTTATCATTTTGCTCTTAAAAATCATGAATGGATTAGATTTATGCAGCGCTTTTCTATATACTTTATTGATCCCAAGGGCAAAATAAATCAAAACAAAAACGTATAGAAAAGTATACCTATCATAGTGCGAAAAACAGTATTCTGTCTATTCCAGGATTTTAACAAAGGATATTAATGTGTCTATATATAAAAAATGTCTAAATGATACATATGAAACATGTCAAACCCAAAAATCTTAACAGGATGTTGTCTTTTTTTTTTTTTTTTTTTTACCATGACTGTATACTATGTGATCAAAGATAAGTTTAAAAATGAGAAATAACCTTTGAAAGCAGATGTCTGAAGTCAAGTTACCATAATTCCATTCAAAATCACTGGTGGTGCAATTGTTGCTGTCAACACTTTCTACTACCACCATTGGTCAATACATTTATCATTAAGGTTGGAGTAAACAGGGACAGAGATCCCGTCAGTTCACCTCAGTTTTTTAACAGGATTTTATCATTTCGGTCTGAAATGATATGTATACATTTCCTATACATGGAAAATGTATACCATTTCCTGTGAAATGATATACATTTCATAGGAAGCAACAAGTATTTTTTCAGTATCATGTTTTTTTCTTTTTTGACTTGTGTAAGGAAAAGTTAAAAATGACAGAAAAATACATTTTTATTATTATAAGTAATTAAAAATTACTTAGGATATTTTTTATGCCTGGTTTAAATTTTTATTGGATTCCCCAATATATATTGCATTACTTTATAATCCAATATATTGAGAGCTTTATCATGTATTTAAAAATATTGATTTATTCATTTGATATATTTATTTTCAATTTATTCAGATAATTAAACATAGCATTGTATTTTAAAAAAAAAAAAAACGTATTAATATGACTGATTTGTGTCACTGTAAGGCTTCTGTAGAAGGAAAACTACCCAAAAAATGGGAGGGAGGAAAAAGGAGATGGAAGGTAATATCATTTATGTCTTTAAATGATGGCCATCAGTTATTTTACTGCTGGTTATAGACTAACTTGTAAGATTATCTCGTCCCTGGTTCAGGCAAGGCTGTGAGGTGGCGTGGTTATTGATGGTTAACTGATAAAATGCACACAATAAAACAAAGAGATTCTTAGAATAACTTTGACATCTGATAAGTTAACAAATGTGCTAGATATACAAGTTCAAAGTAAAAGAAGGATCTTTAATAAATTTAAGTTTAGACTCTTTTCCTAAAAAAAAGAATGTTTTCCTGTACTGTCATTAACAGAAAATAATCATGCGTTGCTGCTCTGAAAGGTAGTGTTAATGCTGCTTATCTGTTTGTTTGTTTTAGGTATTCTTACAGGAAGAAAATGGAAACAATCCCCATTGAGGAAATCAGTCCTCAAACAGAGCCCACTTCCCCGCCCTCCCCAAAACGAGCAAGGACAGACTGCGCTGCGACAGAAGACCTCCACGGGAACAGCAGGTTCAACTCTTCACAGCTTCAGACGTCTCAGGATGCGATTAGCACCTTATCGACAAATAACCTCCAGGAGACCAACGGCCTGATAATAGCAAAGAGTGGGCAGTATCATGATGAAAACCCCATAGGCCTTCCTTCAGATCTTACTCCTGCTACTCATGTGACTTCAGAGTCAAATGAGGTGTGCGTGAGTGTTGAGAGAGAGGAGAAGTCTTTTGTTACCGAAACAGACGAGCGAAGTCCCGCCAGCAACAGCACACCCAGTCTTCCCGACTGTAAACAGCTGGAGAAGTTGCTCAAGGGTGAAAATCCTGCCGTCTGTCTTCAGAATGACGGGAATGATGGGAATCTTGGGACTTGGGCTCAAACTCAACCCAGTCTCATCCAGGCAGTTACCTTCTGTTCACATCAGGTGGCTGACACAGATTTCTGTCATGCTTTCAGCCAACTGGCGGATGCTGCAGAGGGTGATCTGAAGAGAGAGGAGGCACCTCTGAGGAGTCCCACATCCTCCTCCCAAGATGCTCTCCTGCTCTGCTCAAATGTTGAAGCGGATCATTCTCAGAAATCTGACCATCAGATTCCTGAAAATGTCTCCGACGTGGAAACAAAAGGTCAAGGGAGCAAAATGTTTGTCAATTCTTCTGAGGGATTGATTCCTTGCTGTGAGTTTGAGTCAGGCACAACCACATCAGCTGAAAATGTGAGTTTTCAGGAGCACAACTATGTGGTAGAGGCAGAGATTCCAGCAGCTGTTAGAATCAGTCAAGAGGCTGCCAAAGGAGATAATGAGGCCGGCGCATTCTGTGTAATTGACCCTGTAATCTGGAGTGAAATTGATGAGGAGGTTGAACGACTGCTCTGTAACTCAGACGGCGCTGCAGGTGGAGAATTATCTCCGTTAGTTGAGGTCTGCAACATTGAAGCAACTTCTCCACCTTGTTCTGAAGCCAGAACGTCACTGGATTCAGTTCCAGACCAGACGGAGCAGCTTCAGAGAGATGGAAATAAGATTAGCACAACAAGCAACTCGATGCAAGACCAGACCGACAATGAGGGCAAATCTAGTCCTGCATTTGCAGAAGATGATGGAAATGGAAAGATCTGCGATACGGCGAGAAGTCAGCTGAAAGTTGCTGTCAGCCCTAACCACATGGAGATGCCTGAGCTGGAATACTCGCGGGGCAAAACTGACGAAGTGGAAGAGATTGCTGGGTTCATACAAAGTCATTCTCCAAAAGAAACAGAAACCTACAAATTGAGGAATTTAGAATCGGAGTGGCAAAATAAACAAGGAGATTGCAACAGTAACCAGAAAGAAGGAGAAACACAAAAACATGGCAGCAATCTCAAAAGTATTGACAACGAACAAGAAAATGAGCTCGGTGAAGCTTTTGGGGCCAATATTTGCGTAACCTATGTGACGACTGAAGGCAAGGAACAAAATCAGAAGGTAAAAGTTGGCGGAGAAATAAACATAGACGAGCAGGGGACTGGGGAGTGCATGCAGAAGCAAAGTGAGTTCGAAGACGACATTAGGGAAGAGTCTCCCATTCAAGATGTTAGTGAATGGGCAGAGAACAGGTTGAGTTTTTATAACGGAGAAGATCCAGAACAAAGTCTAGGTAGCTTCACTCACGATGTGTCCACGCTCCGCACCGTTCCTCCTACGACTGATGCGGTGGTTCCGTGCCCATCTCAAAATGCTCTCCATGGCGTCAGATATTTTTCATCGGCCTTCACTCCCGGCAAGGATGCGCTCGGCAGGTTTGACACGTTTGAAAAGATCAAACTCTTTCCAGATGACGATGATGGCGCCACAGAGCTCCTGAACACCCCCCAGGAAGAACAAGAACACCACGTGCACGTGGCAGAGAGCGAGATCAATGAGAAGACACTTGAAGATAAGAAAGAGAACACAGAGAACGGATTTGTCTCCAGTGTTTCCAGTTCTAATGAAGTCCCAAACTTCACCCCATTCCTAGATAAAGAGCCGAACAGCCGATCAACCAATGATTCCTCTCACTGCTCACATGATGAGTTGAACCCACAGTCAGCGTCTTCTGCTGTTCCTACCGACTCTGATGGGCCCTCTTGTGATCTAAGCACCAACTTTGACTTTGAAATGGAGGAACAGTTCGGTAGGGTTTTACAGGAGCTCAACTTGTTCTTTGATATCAGTAGAAATGAATTCACAAGGCCGCCCTCGCCTGATTTACCCGAGCCCTCAGTGGACCACTCTACCAAAGTCCTTAGTAGCCCTGAACTGAAATGCTACGCTCACACGTCAACAGGTAACTGTGTTGAAAGATCAGTGATTTTGTGGTTTTCTTTTTACTATTTTATTGAATATGTTTGTACATTGCACCATTCCTTGCATTCCCTTGGATCTTTTTAAGATATTTTACTGGGATTTTAGACAGTAGACCAACACAGGCAACAGGGAAGCTGGTCATAGATTATGGGAAGTTGGGTAGAGCTAAATCTTGGACAATCCTGGAATAAAGCCTGGGTAACACTTTATTTGAAGGGGTGTGCATGAGACTGACATATGCATAAGGTTGACATATGCATGTTTGTGACATGTTATGTAAACATGAAATAACACCTGTTATGAACATGAAGGAATCTTCATGATTGTGACTAAATAATGCAAAGTTGCATAAAAGCCAAAGCCTGTTTCAGGTCGCAAAAGTCATAAGCCTGGAGCAGAAGTTGCTCTTCCAACAGAACAGCCAGATTTCAATGTTTCATAGATCACAGCATGTAGAGTGGACTGGAATCAGTGGCGAGACTTTAAATTGGATGTTCATGGACTCTCTCCGTCCAGTCTGAATGAGTTTGAGGTATTTTGCTAAGAAAAATGGCCAAAAGTCTTAGGGTATATTCACACTGGCCCTGTTTGGGCAGCTTTAATGAAACTCTAGCTGCCTAAAAAGTCCAGTTCATTTGGGGAGGTGTGAATGTGCAGTTG